ACTTTTACCAGAATTCTTGTTCCTATATTAAAGGATTTGTTTCCCCCATGTTTTTGTCCTAAACGAATTTATATGGATGGGGAATACATGGCAAACCTAACGTTGTTATTGCTGTTTTTTCTTTCCTTTTGTTCATTTTTTTCTTGTATTGCTGTTTTGTTGTTGTTGTTGTTGTTTATTTTAGGGGGGCTGATTCAAATTAGAAAGTCTGTGGTCTGACAGACTTCATTTAAAAATTAGGTTAATTGGTTTAAGTAAATACAAAGATTAGTAAGGAAGTATGCATAATTATATACCATTTTGCAGCGCATATTTTCTGTGAACCACTATTGAATAAAGAACCTTTCGTCTTACCAACCACCGTGAGATGGCGAAGGGGAGAGTTAGGGAAGAGGGGCTCGAAACAAGATTAGACAAAACGTTCATGCCAACTGATTTATTTTGTTTTACAGTGCTTCATGAAAATTACAATTCAACTCAACTAGAAACCGCTTTTTCTTTAACAGAAAATCATTGATGTAGCCAACACCCTTTACATCTAAATCGTATTACACCTAAATAGTGCACTAGTCTGATATTTTTTTTTTTTCTAATTTTGCATCGTTCATGAACATTACTACTTAAACAACAAAATACAAAATATTCTGAGAGAGAAAAACATCTGTTACACGGAACACCACTTGCATCAAAATTGTATGTCAACAAGTATTTGAGTGTGATCAGTTTTGTTTCCTCTCTCTTTTTGTTCGTCCATGCTCCTTCACAGCAGTTACTGCTACAACAGTTACACAAACTAAACCAACGACTCCTAAAATAACCCAGCCGCTTGGAGAAGTCAATGAAAGAGCACAAAACGCAGTCGACATCGAAAGTGCGTTCTCGGCTGCCATCTGTTTTCCTGGAAGAGAAACTTTGAAAGTTATTGCGAAGAAATCGAGCCTACATTGAACTCAAAATAAACTCAACGGAAATAGCCTGGAAAAATGAACACTCGTGAAACCGCACACAGACTCATTTAATTTGATTAAGTTAGTAATTATCTGATTTTACCACACCGGGTGTTGTTTTGTGATACAGGATATAGTGACACTTGAGAGTTTTACAGACCAGGGGCTCGTTTATCGAAAGTGCCGGTAACTTAACGGGCCCGAAGCCATATTTTAAAATCAAAAGTTAAAGGATAGGAAGGCAGGTTCTGGAAACCAAACCAGTCCTTTTTGTTTCTTTAGCGGATAGTTTTATTGTGCCATTTTCAAAACTTTTGAAATCACCATCTTGAATGAAAACAGAACAGCTTTACGGGCCCGTTAAGTTACCGAGACTTTCGAGAAACGGGCCCCAGAACCTTGACGGTAGTCTTGATTACGGACAACATTTTATAAAGAGAACAACAAATTCGAGATTTAGAGCCTTACGTAATATTGAGCCTTGTAACACAGAAGGATTCAGCCAATAAATTCTTTACAGTGATCTACTGAGATAAGTCCGGGATCAAGAGGGAGGGGGGGAATGGAAGTTTCATTACTGTACAGGGCTGCCAGACGGGAGGCTTATTGAGGGACCAGTCCATTATCTATCCCCCCTCCATCCCCGCGAGGCTCTGTACTATTCTCCTGATCTCCCCCTCAAAGGTCACGGCGACGAGCGATCAACGTTGTTGTTTCAGATGCAATTTAATGCTTCCTCTCATGATAACTTGAGAAATATTTAGCTTCATTGATCAGGTTCTACTAGCTTCTTCTAGAAATTGATGTTTTTGTCACGGCGTAACGCAAACTTGTGAAGGAACATCAAGTACTTGAATGGCGTGACTTACATTTCTGATTTGTAATGACGAACTTTATTCGATCCAGTGATGGCTACCTTCGAGTCATGTTTATTTGGGCTAGATTTACAATTGTTAATTGTCCTTCAGGGTTCGTACTCTTTTTCAGAAACAATTCTCCAGGACTTTTCCAGGACTTTTCAAGGCTTCAGATTATTTTTCCAGGACTCCAAAATTAACCTGGGTTACTAATGCGCATGAGCTTATGATGATACATGAGCCCTCGATCCTGAGTTACACTCGTGTCAGTTTCGGGAAACATGAAGAAATATTGATGCGGTCATGCGGTCAAAACCAGAAAAGCATACGTAATAAAAATACAAAAAAAACTTTGCTCATTTGTTTTAGGGAAAACTTNTTCACAAGAAATTATTACAATAAAATCCTTGATGAGTTCTTCAAGTGTCTTGAAGTTCGAGACTGTCAATTGTACTTTGCATGCAAGTTGTGCCTTGCCTATGCATGCGGTAATCTATCTTTTTTTAAACCTCCACTGTCTGAACTTGATCGGGTAACTTTGTGAAACGTGCAAGCGCCGAAAGAAAAAAATTTCAAACAGACAACTTATAACGATACATCAGCTGTTACTTATCTGGAAACCACATATAAACAAAAATTATCTTCAAATAGTCAAAAGAAGATTGGCGATAAAGAAAAAACAAAGTAACCTTTCTTGACCCGAGAAGATTCTACGTAATTCAACCAACTCAACCATTCTCCATCGTTCAGTTTGGATTTTTCAGCGCTAATAACTCCACGTTGTTTTTTGGGCTAAATTAATCTATTTTAACAAATGTATGCAATTACTTACCGTTGAGATTGAAACCACCACAGTACTCTTAGTTGACGTCCGCCCGAGACGTTTGATCACGAGTCAGGCTTCGCCTGAAAACATGAAATTTAAACCTTTCAGAAAACTCAAACGGGTACCTAAAGAACCCTAAAGATATTTGGAGGAAAATAAAAACAATAATATAGACTCTTATCTCCTTTATCACTTTACATTATGACCATTTCAACGAAAACATGGCTTACCTTTCGGCTCGAAGCTTGCTTTCACGCCAGCTTTTCCTTCCTCAACCACGAGAGGGCGACTGAAAATGTCAATCACCACTATTAGAGCCCAGCTTCCTGTAACTCCGTCCCGGCCGTTTAGTTTAAAATTCAAACTGAGAGCAGCTAAAATAACTTCTGTTTCGTAGATACAATAACCTTTATCTGCGAACAAGTTTGGTCTCATTGACAAAATGTGACCTCTACTGCACGGATTACAGTCTCTTCAAAAGAATAGTCAAAAGGCTGTTTCTTTTTAGACAACCCAAGTCTTTCAAACATTAAAACATGAATTTTCTCTATCAAAGTACTTGAAAAAACTCACCATAATTTATCACACAGTCCGCCTTCTTAAAAATATAACCCCAAAAACGCACAGTACAAACTTGTTCGTGTCTTCTGATTGGAAGTATATCCGTGTCCGTTCATCCTTCGCAATAAAACTCCCTTCTCCATTTTCCCGAGATAAACAGTTTCGAAGCAGGTTTAGCACAAGTCTTCGGATATTCCACTGCACAGCATTCAAAAGTTAGATTACTTTCCGCGAATTCCAATTTTTTTCACAGGAAAGAAATGACAAAGACGCATCTGAACCAGTCCAGACACTTTAATATCCAAAATCATTAATCCCCACGGTATTAATGTACTCTTTCATTCAACTACGTTCTTCTTGACTGTGTTTTTCACGTTACCATGTTTTCAGCCATGGAATAGCCCCATTTTTCTGCATATAAACTACACACAACCCACAATGCTCTATTCGCTTTGACCAAGGGCTAGCGTTCGAAACGTCAGCCGGGTTTAGAAAATCTAAACGGTGACCAATTTACATTATCAGCTCAGTTAATAAAACCAAATACCCTTGCTCGTGCCGTAAACAAATAACTTACAAGACAATTACGACCTTTCGAATGCTTGTTTCTTTCTGTTATTTTACAACGCAACGACTCGCTGAGTTTTGCAAAGATGTTTAGGATTTTGATTCCCGTAAAGCTCGAAAACTTTTCGACATTCTTCGACTTTGTACCGTTTCAACTGTACCTAAATCGTCAAAGCCTTCCTTCATGACTGTGTTTGCATTCGTTTTGTAATTTTTCAAAGTGCGTATTCTCGAGGTGGTCTTCCTAATTCGAAGATGTTTAGATTCGCTTTAACCTAAAGTGAAAGATTAATCCATTAAAGCCACGAAAGATTTGTTGCGTTTTCAGGAAAAGACAAACAGACAAACAAACAAATTACTTGAAAATGACGTTACGTAAAAATTCAAACGTACCTGTTTATTTAGACCGCTGACCTCCTCCCAACACGCCTCTTTCACCTTTTCCCTCTCCTTGTCCATTTTTTCGCTGAACATTCTCATGTTGTTTTCGTGCCGCTCCCGCCCTTTCCGCAAATCTTCACGGAGCTGGCGCACATGAATGATGGCCTAGCGGAAAATATACAACCAAAATTAAACTCGAAAAAAGCCTCTCCTTTTTGGTTTTGCAACAGTTTGTTTCCAGTTATTTCCGAGGGGACCAGCTACCTAATTACAGAACCGAGTTTCCTTGAGGGACTTGAGGTCGACGTTTTGAACGATAAAAAGCTGCGACGACTTCGACAACTGTCTCAATATCAGCTACCCCATTAAATGCTTCTTAAGCAAATGAAAATAAATAGGCATCGGCTGAGAAAGTTGATCGAGTGTTGTTTCGAGCGTTGAGTTTTAAAGGCAAAAAAGCATACTGCCTGTGAAATGGGTTTGTATGCTTTCTTTTTTTTTTTCTGAGGTGCTCGAACCGTAAACTGAACAGGTCAGAGAAGACGAGAAAGAAAACGATCGTAACAACCTCAACTTTGAAGTCAGCGCGAACCTTTGTTTAGTGACAATCAATCACCTCTCCCTCCCCCCAACTCAACTTTTGTTTTTAAAATCTCTCGAGCTACACCAATGCCTAAGGATACTACCCTTAGACAAAAGTTCCTCCGCCGAAAAAATTATCGCTTGAACTCGGCACTTGCCGAGCGTGATTAAAACCGACCGGTGATAAGGCCCCGGAGCATAACGAATAGCGCCATCGTCTTCAAACGAATCAAACCATAACAATGTAGGCAGAGTTTGATATGTTGAGGACGAAATTTTGAACGATAAAACGCTGTGACGACTTCAACTCGCTGTACCAGAATGTGTTATTGGATATGCAAATTTCGCACTGACAGTTTGACAACAGTTTGCACAATTTATAGCGATAATAATATCTTTTCGTGTGAAATATAAAGGTTATGCTTGTAGCGACTGCAGTATGCAGGCAGCAAAATCATTTCGTGTACCTGTATATGGTTCTGGCTAAATATTGTAAGCTTGCACACGGTAGTTATATGCTGACATCGCCATACCTCTGCCTTCTCCAGCTGAGCCTGTTCCACCATATGACAGCTCTTCTTCACTTGGTTATAAGCTTCAAACTCCCGCTGGCGAACCTCAGCTAGGACGGCTTTCTGGCCTGTCAGCATGTTCATCAAATCATCTCTCTCTCTATGAGAAGGGCAAGACGTAACAGAGATTAAATAAAAAGCAAACAAACAAACAAAAACATGCAAATGAACACAAAAACGATATCAAACCAAACAAAATTAACCAGTTCATATCTTAAAAGTTGGTTACATTGGGTCTACTATATTAAATAATGAAGGAGATGGGAGACAACGAAGCTTATCAACTAAATGCACGAAGTACATGCCTCATGCACGAGTCACGAGGAACCCTTGATTTCGGCAGGAGGGGGGTGTAACCAAGGCCTGTTTTGAATATGACTTATCGTATGTCGTACTAGATTCACTATAAATAACGATTTTAAGCCATCTTCCCAAGCCTTTCTTGATACACTCGTTCAGGTTCTCACTTCGTCAGTTGATTGATTGTGTCTATAGCCGCTTCACTGTGTGTATTGGACAAAACAGCAGAATGATGCCCACATTTGACGCACAGGGCTGGCTGGCCTCTCTGATAAAATAACAACAAGAAGTACACTTTCTCATTATTCTCGAGCATATCCAGAAAAAAAAAAACAAGAGCAAAGGACTAAATAACAGTTCGAACATCTAAAGAAATTAATCCAAATCCTTTTTTTGAAAGCCATCTTTAATTATTCTTGTTCCTGTTTAAAATTATTAGTTTCTGACCCTTCCAAAATATTGCTTTAAGGTTTCTCTCTAGAGCATTCAAGTGTAATTTTCCCCTTTTAAGAACCGTGTGTGAAAACCGTCAAGGACAAATTCTTAGGACGAAAAAGGTCACAGCAATACCATAAAAAAGAACAAAGGAAAAAAAAAAACAGTAACTGATGAAACTACACTGAAAACCCCAAAATAACACAAAAAGATGCCAATTTCACAAATGAATTTTAAATCTCTAACTCATAAACAATTAAAAAATCGTATGACTGTCTGACCTGATCTTCTAATACTTTTTGAGCTCTGCAAGAAAGATAAAAGTAAAATATGCAAATAAATATTTTCCAAAAATAATAAAGGAACATCTTGGAACTTGGCATACAGGTACAAAACTTTATAGTTGTTCTTTACTCTTCAAATTAACAAACACAACATACACCTGTGGTTCGTTATTCCTTTTTCACTCACCGTAATTTTGCTTGCAGTTCTGAAACCTGCCTCTGGTAGTCTTCAAGTTCATCTCTGACAAGATATAAATAAGATGACCCCATCCACGTTAGCCAATCAATGATAAAAGCATGATTACAAAAAGAAGCAGAGGTGCATTGCTAAAATCAAACTACCCATTCTCTTCAGCGGTCTCTCAAAGTGTGTGCATCAGTACATTTGTATATTAAACAAAGGTCCTCATTTGGTGGGACTTTCTGGTCTTATATCTGTCCACTGACAGAGATCAGAAAAAGTGCTCATTTCTCACAGACAAAAAGTACATGTACATGTGGAAACGTCACTAACATCCCAGTCAAGAAGAGTACAAAAAATGATTTAAATCATGGTATGAACAATTGTAACAAGCAAACAAAACAAAATCAAGATGATGAGATGGGGAGGTTGTCGCCCAATTCAAACCGCCTTCCAGTTAGCTCAATTGGTTAGAGCGCCGGATCAAGTTGTGCGGGAGGTCGAGGGTTCGAGCACCGGCCGGAGCAATACTCATCCCAGGTGGAAATCTTATTAAGATCTTGTAACATCTTACAAGAATCTTGTAAGATTCTTATTAAGATTAAGATCTTAATAAGATCTTGTTTAACTCTTAAGATCTTCAAAAATCTTGGTAAAAATCTTGTAAGATCTTGGTCTTAAAATAAGCGAGGAGAATTTGCTACCTCCTTTCTATAATCAAGAAAAGGATAGATATTCTAGTCTTCTTGGATAAGGATGAATAAACCATAGGCCCCATCTCCTACAGGGTTAGAGGCAGGAGACATTAATTTCCCACGCACGAGATTAATGTGTTGTGGATGTCCTCCCCTGGGGTGGGATGGGTGGGAATTGGCCCTGAAAAGCCCCCATAGGGAGTGGTCAACTATTGTCTGTATGTAC